TACTTATGGTAGATCCCATTCTGAAGTCAAAAGCAGGGGTAGCGGTATTTTACAACAAATGATTTAAAACATACATAGAGCTCGGACTACTTTTTAGGCTGCTAATTAAAAATTACAGAAGCGGGCCCTTCCTGGTGGCGCAGCGGGCTAAAGCGCAGCACTGAGAGGCTTAAGCCACTTCTGCATAAGTTCGATCCCCGCCTGCCCTGGAGGAGATCCACATGGCGAGGCAGACCTCTCCTGACCCGCCCGCTGCTCCCCTCAGCAGTGTACTTCGTCGATCTGCCTGTTCTGCTCCCCGCTCTGTCTCTGGTGAATCCTCTCACCCTCCGCATCTCTGGCCTGTACCCCAGTTCTGTGTGAATAAATGGATAAATCTTTAAAAAAAAAAATTACAGAAGGACAGAGGATGGGGGTGATGTAAAAAGTCTCACGCTGGCCTCTGATTCTCTGCTAAAGAGAGTACATGGATTTCTAAAGACATAATGCCTCAAAGTTTGTCCTCTAAATGCATTTGTACTTTAACAGGGTGAATTTCCTACCTTTCAGTCAAAACAAACATAAACATTTTATGAAGAGGACCTTTAGTGAAAGGTAAAATGCACAGATCAATATTTAGTTTCAGACTACACATCCTTTTCAATTCTAACTTAATACACTAGCATGTTGATTTCAGTGTTTGAATATATGTTAAGGTGTCACTTTCACACTGATGACTTCACGAAGCTAGAGAGAACAATGAACACACCATGTTACAAGCATGTAATACTTGCTTAATAATGAACACTGTACTTACAGTCTTAAAGTAGCCCTCCATGATAGTGAAAATTTAAAGAATATGTGATTTTTTTCATAAAGGAAATACTCTCTAGGTCCAAATTTAGAATAACAGGCTTGCATTTTCAATGAGATAGCTTGCAAGTACTAAGCTTCTGCCTGCTATCACAGGCAATAAAGGTAGACTGTGATGTCATCTCACATTTCAGAAGAAAATGAAAATGTGCCCAAGTCCAGGGAATTTAAAAAGTGAGCAGCATGGGGGTGGTGCATCTGACCACATGTCCGCTTGGGAGACAGGCACTACGCATATCCAGCCCCAGATTCATCACTTGTAAAGTATGTGACCCTATAAAAGTGACCTCTCTGGGCTTGTTTCCTCATCTATCCATCCTGAAATATACTAGTATCCACTCCAAAGAAATGCTGCAAGAGTCAAGTGTTAAGTGTTTTGCACATAGTAAGCTGTCAGTTGATAATCACGTCAATTTCTCTTACCCTTTCATATTTTTTTTCTTTTTTCCATATGAGTTCTCAACTTAAATTTTTTTTTGTATTCTTAAAAAAAAAAAAAAATCCAACACCAGCAACACAACCATCCAAGATTCATACATCACTGCTGCTAGTGTTGTAAGCTGTTGAATCTGTCAACTGTGCTGTGGATCCAGTATCAAGCTGTTTCTTTTTGACAATGTCAGGACTCTTGACCCTTTATCACGGCTATGCGGTCAATTTGAGTCCTTGCTATATTGAACAAGCGGTAGGACACTGCAGTATAACCCTCAGAAGAATAGAAAACAGATTATATCTAATTTTTTTCTGTGTATGTCTGTCTTTAGTGAGACTTAGTCTGTTAATATAATTCCATTACCATAATTACGATCTGTTAATATCATAATGAATATAAGAACACATTTTTTATCTCCTTTTTTCACCTTTATTTTCTATTGAGGTAACATATATTTATAGCAATATATATGACCTAAGGGAATAGGCTCACACCTCCTCAGAGACTCGTCATCACACCAAACCCACCACCGAAGCACCCATACACCATCTCCCTAAATCACTGGGGTGCTCCCCACCCCTTTAGCAGCCTTCATTCTACAGTCATGTTTCTAGGTTTTTTTTGGCTTATTTGTGTCAGCCCCTTTGTTTTGTTTTTCTATAATCCACCAGTGAAATCATGCAGTATTTGTCTCTATTTACAGATATTGATTATATAGCTACAGAACCATTTCATTATAAAACTAAAAATTAAAAATATACATACAGAAGTAATGTACAGGGTAATACTCATGTAGCTCTAAAATTAATATCTAGAAGCCAGCAATGTCTTTCATTTTACTTTAAAGAAAAATACCACTACTGTTGTTAAAACAGATTTTAAATACAGAGTACTGCAAAACATAAAATAACTCCATTGAAAAAGAAAGTACATTTGCCACTTATATACATAAAAAAAAGTGGACTGGATTTTAATATCTTTCCTACCTAAAAACAACATTAATCTGCAAAAAAATAAATACCCAATATGGCTTGGAGGTGTAATTTAAGACATGTGGCTAAAGCAAAGAACTTGGTGAACCTTAAGAGACAACGTGAAGTAAAGCCGAGTCTGTGTTGACCACAGCACACTGGTTACTCTGCAGAGCCGATCAATAGATATTAGCTTTAAAAAGAGAGATCTAGCAAGAAGCTGCGGCATATTTTTTAAATGACAGGGTGAAGGTTTAAATTGTCTCAATCAAGACTCAATTTTTTTCTTCCCAGTTTTTCCAGCTGTTCTCTTCCAGTTAAGCCTCCTCATTTCAAATAAATTTAATTAGTTCCAATTGATCATCGCCAACACTGAGACAGCTTTATCCATACTCCTTTACTTTTTATAAGGCAAACACTCACCAAACCTGGTCGGCTCAGAGACTATTTGAGCCTCGATCATTCTCACCCAAAAGGAAAATTTCAAAATTGTTACTCTGAGTATAGTTGAAGCTCTACATTATACTTGCTGTTTTAATTGCTATCTTGGTCAGGTCATTTAATTAAGTGAATTGAAGAATTAAGTTCCAGATTGCTACAAAAATAAAAGACAACTCTACAGACGAACCCAGCCATACCTTCTATACACACACACAAATCACTCAAAGTATAGCTACATACTACTATCATAATAGAATCTGTATTTTATCAGGAGACATTACTAGAGAGATTCTCTTTAAACACCTGTATAAAAATGAACCACTGTTCAGACTAATAGCTATGCTGGACACTTGTACTTTACAATGCTGGTCATCCCAAAATAAGATTATTGTGCTTGAATCAGGTTTCTCCCATGCATCTACCATATTTTTCATAATGAAATTTATATAGGATTCTAGTCAATAAAAAGAAATATGATTTTCTTCTAAACCCTCACAAAAATCTATACCACATCTTAATCAAGTCACAGAATCTAAAGGTAACCTAAACGATCTGCAGGCTGCAGCAAGCCAGTTGCTCTGACAACGTGTTAAGGAAGCCTTTTTTAGTTATTTAAATTCTTTGGGTATTGAACATTCTTGCCTCTAGTACCATAGCATGAAATGAATAAATCAATTGATAAAAGCCATTTGCCACACATGTTTAAATGAACTTACCGGTTATAATACAGTCTGTGTGATAGTAATTGACCCTCTAAACTAAAATTTTCCTTTTTTGCTCCTTGATTTTTTTTTTTTAATGACAAAATTAAAGCACAGGCATGTGTCTTAATGCTTTCTCATGACTTTGGTAATTTGAATGCACTAATTTAATAAGACTAACTTGAGTTCTCAAAAATTCAGCTTTTATTTCAGGATACAAATTGAGTTATTCTACTATTGTCAAGGAAACTTATTTTCTCAATGAATAAACCACTACTTTTATAGACTAGAAGACCTTTAACTTTGCTGGGAATGAAAACATAACAAAAAATATCTATAACAGCATAGAAGAGGCAATGAAATTGAATTAGGAAAACTAGTCATAAAATCTACAAATGGATATCCTTTAGTAGGTACTGAAAGAAAAAGTTGGAGTTTTATGAGATGATTTATATTTAAATTGAATGAATTTTTAAACCAATGAACACTTTAAGAAGAATTAAAGGCTAACAAGTAGAAGTACCACCATCACCTCATTTTCCTGAAAACTAGATGGTCCCCAACTTAGTCAGCTAAGGTTTAGAGGTTTTTTAAATACACAATTTGTAAATTTTCATGGGAGAACGTTAGGATCCCTTGACTGTTTTCCTTGAAGAAATTTTAAAGGTGTTCAGGTGTTTGTACGTCACAGAGCTTACATGGCTTTAAAAGATAAAAAAAATCCCCTTTCATGTTTTCTACCTTTAATTTTTGTTAAAAATTTTACTGTCATAAAACACTTTTCCTGTTAATTCTGGGTATGCTTTTTTTCAACCATTACTACTACTAATAATTGTATTTGTTGATATAGACTTACATATGCAGATATTACATTTTAACCATCAATGCTAAAACAAAGAATTTATCATTTTTATCAGCAGCTGGTTTTTATCCTTTATTTTGAAAGAAACTGCGATGGATTCACTTGTTATGGAAGGCTTTGCAGTAACTGAAAACGCCTTAAGTTTATAAAAAGATAGGCTGAACACAAATTGAGTACGTGGTATGTCCTTAAACTTAAGCTTTATATAATGCCCGGCCATATGATAAATCATGCAGATAAGAATGTCCACTAACTAACCACGTAAAGAAGTCTGAAAAGCAGCCTTATTTTCTACAGTACAGGTACAAAGACTACCTATAAGTTTCCTTCTGCAGCCTGTTATTTCAGGCATTGCTATTACAACATCACTTCCCTTCAGTTTGCTTTGCAATTACAAAACCCTCCATAACATAAGCATGCTCCTCTACATGTGCCAATGCATTAGCCATAATACCAACATTTGAATTCAAAGGTCTCTAGAAAAACAAATGCACAACCAGAAGATTCATGATTATAGCAACAACGAACAAAACCAGGACCAAACAAACAATGCCACTTCTTTACACTCAAGATCAAAAAGCATACTACTAGAGACTCTCATCAAAGCGAGCACTCCATGAACCCCAGTTTCCATTCTGTCAATCAACATCTCATCTTGGCTCCACTATACATGACCTAAAAGCACGTCCCCAATTTTGGACAAAGCTCATCCAGATTGTGCTCACGATGGGCACACTTACCAGCTGTGATGTCATCATCGACAAGGTCGTGCTCTTCCTCCTGGATTTTGGCTTCTGGCCCCGAGGTCTCTGGAGCAGTGCTGATAGTCTGCATGGCTTCTGCTGAAACTCCAGCTAAAACAAACAGTCAAAAGGGTTAGTTTAGAAAAACTGAAAGACAGACCAAAGCTCATAAAGCTTTTGCATTTACTTGCAAATAAATGCAGCATATTAAAAAAAAATACAATATATTCACCAAAATTAGGAAGGGACAAATTAATGAGTGAAACATTCATATTGCTCTGTTTCTTTACATGTATGTATCTATACATGTGTACACTTACATTTCCTTTTAAAATTAAGACCTGGAGAAGCAGATAAAGTATCTCAATTTCTTTTGCTGTTTTGGCTATAGTTCCTTTAGCGGATGTAGACTTAATTGGGCTACAAGGAAGATAAACAACTAGAAAATGAGGAGCTATTTTAAAAGTTTTTTCTCTTTAATATTAGTTTGCTTATCACTTGGAGGCTGGAAGGCAGGTAACTAAGAGGGACTGTGCTCTTGTCTGTGTGAGAGCCCTGAAATGTTGACCAAAGAGAGCAGGAAACCTCTGTCTATTGAGGGATGACATGAAAGGCCAGGTCACTGTCACAGTGAAAGGAACTAACTGAATGTGTACAGATGAATAAATCAAGGGGCCAATAGCTCTGTTCTGAGACCTTGGCAGTTTTTACAAATATGTTTTCTTTAACTATCGTCCAATCCTTGATGCTACATTTTGCATCTATTATATCATTTCTAACTTGGAAATGGATAGTAGGTTTAATCATTATTTTTCATATGGGTATCAACTTTATTGGTTATCCACTGTATACAAATCTCAGTACAGGAAGTCAGGAGTTAAATCTTGTAGTCAAAACTTGCTAATAATTACCTTAATAACTGCAGTCATAGTAGCTATTAAAATATTTTAAAACCCAGAAGCTACAAATAGTCAAAAAATTTTTTTTTCTTCTGAGATGTCTTAAACATTTTAATGTGCAATTCAACCATGCTGTCTCAAGTTTAAAAGGGGAACAAAACAAAAAGAATCTAAGTCTTTAACCACAATGAATGATGTAGAACTAGACCTACCAATAGGCAGATCCAAAACCTGATTATATAAATTTGGGGAGGAGGAACACACCATTTTAGTATCATCACTTCATTCAGAATTTCTCAAAAGAAAAAAAAAAAGACAGTGCTAAATCACTGGACCCTGATGAAATACCTGGTAAGAAAATCTTCCTTAGCAGTATCATTTTGGTTTTTGCATTATCAAGATAAAAATTTTAAATAAAGTAAGGGGTTAATAGAAAATAGTTCTAAATTAAAAATCTTCCTGCTCAAATATAAAATCAAAGATTATTTCATATTAGTAAATAAAGAGATCTCTGAAATCTCTCAGACTTATTCCTTTCCTATACTTAATAAATAATTATAAAAATGATCAGAGTAAAAAGATCGGGGACATAGCGAATAGTTTAGTTAGTTAACAGTCATTTATTAGTACTTTCCACTCATAAAATTAAGGGATTCAATGATTAATGACTAGTATTTATATTGTACTGGGTTCATAAATCCCTTTAATTTATCTCATTTAATCAGTCATTAAGTAGTAGTGGAAGTAGTGGAAATAATTTTTATAATTATTTATTAAGTATAGGCAAGAAATAAGTCTGAGAGATTTCAGAGATCTCTTTATTTACTAATATGAAATAATCTTTGATTTTTAGCCAGTGCAATAAAGCAAGAAAAGAAAACATAGTTTAAAGTGGATGAAGCAAATTATCCCTATTCAACTATACCAAATTATCCCTACTCAACTTAGCCAAGTAGTAGAAAATCATTGAAATCTAATGGTAGACTTGGTATCAAAGCTCAATCCATAAAAAGAAATATTGGTAAAATCAGCTTCATCGATATTAAATGTTTGCTCTGCTGAAGACCCTGTTAAAAAGATGAGAAGCTACAGACTAGGAAAAAAGATTTACAAATCACCTATCCAATCAGGGACTGTTAACTAAACTACATACAGGACTCACAGGACCCAGCAGTAAATAGTCTGGCAGCTGTTCAAAAGATTAAACAGAGTTACCATGTGACCCAGGCAATGCATTCACAGGGAACAGACTGTAGTGGATGTCCAGAATATCATTCATGAAAGCCAGAGGGTAAACAAACCAAATACCTATCAATGGATGAATACTTGACTATAGTAACAAATCACATTTTATTGATGAATGCATAGTAATATGCACACATAATACAAGGAAACAACATATTAAGTAAAAGTCACAAAACACTACATACTGATTGATTCCATGTACATGAGACGTCTCATACAGGCAAATCTGTAGACACAGAAAGTCCACCTGGAGGAATGGAGAGTGATGGTAATGGGCACAGTTTCCTTTTAGGGTGAAGAAAAGATTCTGAAATGACTGTGGTGCTGTTGCACAACTCTATAAATTACACACTTTCAAGGGTGAGTTTAATGGCATGTGAATTATTTCAATAAAGCTGTTTTTAAAAGTTTGCTTTTCTGGGCTTCCCTGGTGGCGCAGCAGGTTAAAGCGCAGCACTGAGAAGCTAAAGCCACTTCCGCATGAGTTCGATTCCTGCCCCGGAGGTGACCCACATGGCGTAGCAGACCTCTCCTGACCCACCCGCTGCTCCCCTCAGCAGTATACTTTGTAGATCTGCTGTTCTACTCCCCACTCTGTCTCAGGTGAAACCTTTCACCACTCCTGCACCTCTGGCCTGTACCCCAGTTCTGTATGCATAAATAAATAAATCTTAAAAAAAAAAAGTTTGCTTTTCTAATGTCCAAAATCACTCATGCCTAGACCATGCCACTGCTGTGCACTTTCCTGACACAAATACAGCCACACAGCTGAAGGAGAAAGGGGGAAATAGGGCTACAGAAAACATGTATGTAATAAAACAAAATTCACCATGAATATTGTCTTGGGTTGGCAAGAAAGAATGTTCCTTTCCATTTTCAAAAAAAATTAAACATATATTTGAGTTTGATCTTATTTCATTCTGTTATCCTTAGCATCAAAATTTCTGGGTTATTTTGTGCCAGTTAATAAAAAAATTAATTTGAATCAATATATATGTGTTTCACTTATTTTTATGATAAGATAGACAGCCTAAATTCAGCTGAGGTGGGCACTGGAATGGCAATAAAATATGTCTGATTCTTGCCTTTGCTGGAAGATATAAAAGATAAGAGATACTGAGAATGGGGCGACATATTACTACAAGAAACATTATTTAATCCTTCTAAGCATGCTAATCATTATCTGCAAAAGGAGGAAAAAACATTTTTTAAAATTCCCAGGCATCACTTATCTTTTTAAAACAGTTAGCTACATGTTATACTACTATCTTATGATAGTAGACATTATAACAGATATTCTGTAAAAGGCATAATTTTAGGACAGAAATCAAATCAACAGTTGCCAGAGACTAACTGCGTGGTGACTGGGTTCACTACAAAGCAGTAGGAGCAAATATCTTAGAAAAATAAAAATAATCTACAGTTTGGTTATGGGAGTATGTATATGACTATCCACGTTTGATTAGAACTCATAGAATTGTATAGCAACAAGAGTGCATTTTACTATATGTCAACTACATGTCAACCTCAATAAACCCACCTTTAACAACAGATATAGTAGGAGGTACCATCTTATGTCACTAAAGAAAACTGAAGATTATGCCAGAATGCAATGATATTTTCAACGAAACACAAAGGTCAGAAAGAAATATTTTACTTTTTCCCTCATATAAAATAGTAAACTTTTTGAAGGAGGAAAAAAACTTAAACGTAATCCACTATCAATCAAATGGTGAAATCTTATTGAGATTGAAAAATAAAAGGAAATATCTACAGAGAGCAGGCTAGCACAGAATCATCAGTTTCTGGCATATTTGATTATCAAGACTGTAAATGTCAATTAATAATATGGGGCTACTTAACAATTTTCTTAGGTATTAGGTGTAAATGAGCTTGGGTCTCAAACTATGCTCTAAAATCTAAGACTTATTTACATCTTGAGTGTCCTCAAATATTTGACAGTAATGAGTATCTCAGAAAAGTTCAACAAATTCATCCTGAATAAAACTAATATCTTCAAATTTATGTGGCAAAACATGCGATTTCAATATGCAAGAAAATAACAGTGTGTACTTTAGGAAAGACACACAATGAAGAGGTACAATAAAGAGATTATAAAGCAATAAAGATAATAAAGAAATACAATAAAAAAGAGATGGAAAAAAATGAATGGAAAGATACGACAGCTAAACCAATTAGATCCTGAATCCAAAGTTTACAAAATCAAAAAATAAGCATCCAGTATGCCAGACAGCAGGTACCTTTACATGGGCTGTACACTGTGTACCAGCAGGAAAAGGCAATGCATGAAATGAAGCAAAAATGCGGTCAGAGTAAGTTTGGCTAAGACAGTGAAAGGGAGGGGGAGGGCTTTGGCTGGCAACACAGGTAGGAAATAGAAGACGGGAAACCTATTATGAGCTCTCCAAGGCGTCTAGACTTCTGAACACGCCAATCACTATTCATGGCAAGCGGTCTATATATATATAAACGATTTCTGTATAAATATTTTTAATTACTTAGAAAAGCATTTTAAAAATGTAAATACAGGAGTACAGTTTTCAAAATGGATGGGCTCAAACTGCACTTGTCTCTCTTACCAATAAAACCAAGTACATCATTCGAAAAATTATCTGTCAAAAGCATATCCATTACCTGTAGGAGCATTTTTTTTCTTACTGGCTAGTAATATCTGAATAGTAATAAATCATACGAACTGAGAAGACTGCAGTGGCATGTGATAAAGTTAATAATCAAAGATAAAATATGAAATTGTAACAGAGGAAAATTTTAAACACCGTGTAACATTATAATGCAAAGCCATTGCAGATCATTATAATTTACTTTACGGATGATTAGCTGGTAGCGATATACAAGACTGTTAGGACTCTGAAAGAAAAGCCCCACCAGAAAAATTTATAAATATTAGCACAAATTATGTGCTCATTCCCATAGTAATACAGCTAT